TTAAGTATTAAAAGACTTTTCAGTCTCAAACGGAGAGGGAGGGAGGGAGGGAGGGAGGGAGGGAGAGAGAGAGAGAGAGAGACAAAGAAGAAGAAGAAGAAGACGCCTAATGAAAAGAAGAAGAAAACGCCTGCGAAGCACAAAGCTTGAGAGATGAAGAATAAAAAGATGAAGATCAAAGCTTGAGAAGCAAATACATGGAAGAAGACAACACGATCTCCACTTTTGTAGCCCTAATCACAAGTCCATATCAGGTTTTTCTTTTCCTTGCGATTCTCTCTCTCTCTCTCTCTCTCTCCCCTTCTTCTTCTTTGTTGTTGCCGTGAAACACAAATTCTTAGCTCAAGCGTTTCCATCTAGTTAGATCCACGATTCTATCTCAATGGGGACGCGATTCTAACACGATTCTTGCTACGAATCATTGAATCGCGATTCTAGACGAGAATCGTCTCCCCTTCCCACGATTCCTGCTACTAAGATATTTCCTTAAAAAAACGTGTTCCAAAAAAAAAAAAATCCTGAAAAAAGTTCTCAAAACAAGTTCTTTTTGGAGAATACAAAAATAGAAAACAATACCAAAATCGCCCAAAGCAATTCAGACATAAATTTCTCGACTGCCAAAACCCCTTAGACAATGAGATGGAAAAATGGCTATACATGGGTTAAGTTGAAATATTTGCTGCTAGGGTAAGATGTTGATTACACATAATTTTTCAGTTTGGCCAATACTTCACATGCATAGTCATGGTTTTACCCTCCATTGTAACTACTTCTGGTATGTGCATTCAAAACTATCCTATTCCTGTATCATCAAAATGACCTCCACGTGCCTCCATTACTTTACATATTTTCAACACAACTTGAAAATTGATCCAAAGATTACAAGGAAAATCAAATGGAGAATAATTAATCGAACGATGAGACACTTGAGACAAATCCTGTTGTCCATCATATAAGCATGCTTAATCTAAGGGAATGAAAACTTGTTTTAGAGCAAGTGAAGACACTTGATTTTATTCACCCAAAAACAGACACTTGATTTTATTTTCACTTTTTTTCTATTTTTCGAAAACTATATTCATTTATTTTTTGTAATGAAAGCTGTTACCAAATGTGTTTATTTTCACTTTTTTTCTATTTTTCAAAAACTATATTCATTTATTTTTTGCAATGAAAGTTTTACCAAATGTGTTTTCATGTCCAAATTTTGGAATTTTTAAAACAAACACGTTACCAAACAGTCCCTTAGATTCTACAGTTATCTATAACATTGTGATAACATATGCCAACCATTGCCGATTATTTTTTACTACTTGCTAGTATCCAATTGACTTTTATTTTGCAAATTTTACCAAATGTGTTTTGTCTCAAGTCTTTCGACTTATTTATAGTAGACACATCCTAATCTGACTGGGAAACAATATTCTAGACTAATTTCTTTATTAACATAAAATTTGCAAAATAAAAGTCAATTGGATACTAGCAAGTAGTAAAAAATAATAGGCAATGGTTGGCATATGTTATCACAATGTGATAGATAACTGTAGAATCTAAGGGACTGTTTGGTAACGTGTTTGTTTTAAAAATTTTGAAATTTGGACATGAAAACACATTTGGTAACAACTTTCATTGCAAAAAATAAATGAATATAGTTTTCGAAAAATAGAAAAAAAGTGAAAATAAAATCAAGTGTCTGTTTTTGGGTGAATAAAATCAAGTGTCTTCACTTGCTCTAAAACAAGTTTTCATTCCCTTAGATTAAGCATGCTTATATGATGGACAACAGGATTTGTCTCAAGTGTCTCATCGTTCGATTAATTATTCTCCATTTGATTTTCCTTGTAATCTTTGGATCAATTTTCAAGTTGTGTTGAAAATATGTAAAGTAATGGAGGCACGTGGAGGTCATTTTGATGATACAGGAATAGGATAGTTTTGAATGCACATACCAGAAGTAGTTACAATGGAGGGTAAAACCATGACTATGTATGTGAAGTATTGGCCAAACTGAAAAATTATGTGTAATCAACATCTTACCCTAGCAGCAAATATTTCAACTTAACCCATGTATAGCCATTTTTCCTTCTCATTGTCTAAGGGGTTTTGGCAGTTGAGAAATTTATGTCTGAATTACTTTGGGCGATTTTGGTATTGTTTTCTATTTTTCTATTCTCCAAAAGTAGAACAAACCGGAACGGATACATAGAACTTGTTTTGAGAACTTTTTCAAGATTTTTTTTTGGAACACCTTTTTTTAAGGAAATATCTTAGTAACATGAATCATGAAACACAACAACAACAAAGAAGAAGAAGGGGAGAGAGAGAGAGAGAGAGAGAGAATCGCAAGGAAAAGAAAAACCTGATATGGACTTGTGATTAGGGCTACAAAAGTGGAGATCGTGCTGTCTTCTTCCATGTATTTGCTTCTCAAGCTTTGATCTTCATCTTTTTATTCTTCATCTCTCAAGCTTTGTGCTTCGCAGGCGTCTTCTTCTTTTTCTCATTAGGCGTCGTCTTCGTCTTCTTCTTCTTCTTTGTCTCTCTCTCTCTCTCTCTTCTCTCTCTCTAACTCTCTCTCTCTCTCTCTCTCTCTCTCATGCATAGATTATTTATATGGAAATTTTTTTTAAGGTTCCCTAATATTAAAATTTTATAAGATAAATGATATACAATATTTTCATAGTAATTAACCTCTGCAATAAAGGCAGGAGTTACAAACCTCATTAATGCACTATTACTTTGCAATAAAGGCAGAAGTTACAAACCCCCATTAACTCTTTATGAAGCTAACTTCATGGGGCAATTTCTCATTCATTCTCAATGGTTTTTGGCCATTCTATTTGTGGTGTAAAGATCTCATTGCAAAGTATCTAGACCCACCTGGACCCAACACAATAGATGGTTGGGACTCACTTTAATATTTAATTAAAGTCACCAAAAATCTATTTTTTCCAACATGTATTTGGTTTGATAATGTCTACACTTGTTTTCCAATTTTGAATTTCCAAATTGAGTGGTTAGAATTGGCTTATATATTGATTGAAGTAGTTGGTTTAGCAGAAAATTTGTGTGGCTGTGTGGATGGTAGGAATTTTTTTTTTCTTAGTTTTTTTTTTTTTTTTGTGTTGCTAGATCTCACTTTTATTAGTTTTTTTTTTTTTGAAATATCATTTATATAAATTACTTCAATGCAAAATTATTATTTTTGATGAGACAACCTCTCAAACATAATAATTCAAACAAGCAAGATTTTTATTTTTATTTATTTTTTACATGAGTGGAACTGAAGTCGAATTCTATTATTATCACCAAATGGTCCGCCGTTGAAGAAAACCCGGATCACCGATGGTGTGACTTGCAGATGGAAAATGAATTTTCTATTGCAATGGAAACAGTAGAAACATGACCGCTTTTTTACTCGGATAGCTACACCGTCAACTGCACTTCAGACACTCCTGGCTACAAACGACGGCCACCAAGATGGCGGTGTTGGCTGACTAGAAGAGGCCCTGGTGGTTCCCCATGAAAGACGATCTCCGAAGAAGACTACTTTACTTGCTTTCTGTGATGAGTTATCCATAGATTATCATTAGTTTTCTCTGTTGAGGCTTGTGAAGATATAACCTTCCAGGCTTTGTGACATCAGCTTGAAGGCACTCTGCGCTTGAACGGAGCTATTCTTGTCGGGATGAACCATAAGTGCCAGCATTTTGTAATGCTTCTTAGCAGTTTTAGCGTCTGCAAAAACAGAACTTGCGAGGCCAAGTGTTAGAATTTACCATTCACACTCACCTACTACACTCCCACCTACCACCAATTTACCCTCACCTACTCCTCCCTACTACCCAACCCTCTCCTATATAATGCCACTTCTGATTTGTAATACAACACATCAAGAATACATCAATCAAATATCAATCAATAATACATAAATTCTTACATGGTATCAGAGCAAGGTTAAGAACCTAGTATTTTCGGACTTCACG